ATTAGGGGTGTGCGCGGTGCGGGTCGGTGCGGTTTGAGAGAAAAATAGAAACTGTATGGCAGATGGCGGATTAATAAAAGTGTCACTAAAATTTGCCATTTTTCTTATAAAAAATCGGCGGTTCGGTTGGCAAATAATGGCGAATTTGCCTTGGTGGTTCGGACGGATTGACGGTTTATAAAAAATATAATTCAAATTACAAAACTTAAATCAAAGAGTAAAAAAAAGACGAGAGATACCGTGATATTAGTATTGATTACTGGGTGAACTTACATTAGTAGATACTGATGTGAACATTCACATCAGTGTATAATGATCTGAACATTCCTATTAGTATTGATTACTGGGTGAACTTACATTAGTAGATACTGATGTGAACATTCACATCAGTGTATAATGATCTGAACATTCCTATTAGTATTGATTACTGGGTGAACTTACATTAGTAGATACTGATGTGAACATTCACATCAGTGTATAATGATCTGAACATTCCTATTAGTATTGATTACTGGGTGAACTTACATTAGTAGATACTGATGTGAACATTCACATCAGTGTATAATGATCTGAACATTCCTATTAGTATTGATTACTGGGTGAACTTACATTAGTAGATACTGATGTGAACATTCACATCAGTGTATAATGATCTGAACATTCCTATTAGTATTGATTACTGGGTGAACTTACATTAGTAGATACTGATGTGAACATTCACATCAGTGTATAATGATCTGAACATTCCTATTAGTATTGATTACTGGGTGAACTTACATTAGTAGATACTGATGTGAACATTCACATCAGTGTATAATGATCTGAACATTCCTATTAGTATTGATTACTGGGTGAACTTACATTAGTAGATACTGATGTGAACATTCACATCAGTGTATAATGATCTGAACATTCCTATTAGTATTGATTACTGGGTGAACTTACATTAGTAGATACTGATGTGAACATTCACATCAGTGTATAATGATCTGAACATTCCTATTAGTATTGATTACTGGGTGAACTTACATTAGTAGATACTGATGTGAACATTCACATCAGTGTATAATGATCTGAACATTCCTATTAGTATTGATTACTGGGTGAACTTACATTAGTAGATACTGATGTGAACATTCACATCAGTGTATAATGATCTGAACATTCCTATTAGTATTGATTACTGGGTGAACTTACATTAGTAGATACTGATGTGAACATTCACATCAGTGTATAATGATCTGAACATTCCTATTAGTATTGATTACTGGGTGAACTTACATTAGTAGATACTGATGTGAACATTCACATCAGTGTATAATGATCTGAACATTCCTATTAGTATTGATTACTGGGTGAACTTACATTAGTAGATACTGATGTGAACATTCACATCAGTGTATAATGATCTGAACATTCCTATTAGTATTGATTACTGGGTGAACTTACATTAGTAGATACTGATGTGAACATTCACATCAGTGTATAATGATCTGAACATTCCTATTAGTATTGATTACTGGGTGAACTTACATTAGTAGATACTGATGTGAACATTCACATCAGTGTATAATGATCTGAACATTCCTATTAGTATTGATTACTGGGTGAACTTACATTAGTAGATACTGATGTGAACATTCACATCAGTGTATAATGATCTGAACATTCCTATTAGTATTGATTACTGGGTGAACTTACATTAGTAGATACTGATGTGAACATTCACATCAGTGTATAATGATCTGAACATTCCTATTAGTATTGATTACTGGGTGAACTTACATTAGTAGATACTGATGTGAACATTCACATCAGTGTATAATGATCTGAACATTCCTATTAGTATTGATTACTGGGTGAACTTACATTAGTAGATACTGATGTGAACATTCACATCAGTGTATAATGATCTGAACATTCCTATTAGTATTGATTACTGGGTGAACTTACATTAGTAGATACTGATGTGAACATTCACATCAGTGTATAATGATCTGAACATTCCTATTAGTATTGATTACTGGGTGAACTTACATTAGTAGATACTGATGTGAACATTCACATCAGTGTATAATGATCTGAACATTCCTATTAGTATTGATTACTGGGTGAACTTACATTAGTAGATACTGATGTGAACATTCACATCAGTGTATAATGATCTGAACATTCCTATTAGTATTGATTACTGGGTGAACTTACATTAGTAGATACTGATGTGAACATTCACATCAGTGTATAATGATCTGAACATTCCTATTAGTATTGATTACTGGGTGAACTTACATTAGTAGATACTGATGTGAACATTCACATCAGTGTATAATGATCTGAACATTCCTATTAGTATTGATTACTGGGTGAACTTACATTAGTAGATACTGATGTGAACATTCACATCAGTGTATAATGATCTGAACATTCCTATTAGTATTGATTACTGGGTGAACTTACATTAGTAGATACTGATGTGAACATTCACATCAGTGTATAATGATCTGAACATTCCTATTAGTATTGATTACTGGGTGAACTTACATTAGTAGATACTGATGTGAACATTCACATCAGTGTATAATGATCTGAACATTCCTATTAGTATTGATTACTGGGTGAACTTACATTAGTAGATACTGATGTGAACATTCACATCAGTGTATAATGATCTGAACATTCCTATTAGTATTGATTACTGGGTGAACTTACATTAGTAGATACTGATGTGAACATTCACATCAGTGTATAATGATCTGAACATTCCTATTAGTATTGATTACTGGGTGAACTTACATTAGTAGATACTGATGTGAACATTCACATCAGTGTATAATGATCTGAACATTCCTATTAGTATTGATTACTGGGTGAACTTACATTAGTAGATACTGATGTGAACATTCACATCAGTGTATAATGATCTGAACATTCCTATTAGTATTGATTACTGGGTGAACTTACATTAGTAGATACTGATGTGAACATTCACATCAGTGTATAATGATCTGAACATTCCTATTAGTATTGATTACTGGGTGAACTTACATTAGTAGATACTGATGTGAACATTCACATCAGTGTATAATGATCTGAACATTCCTATTAGTATTGATTACTGGGTGAACTTACATTAGTAGATACTGATGTGAACATTCACATCAGTGTATAATGATCTGAACATTCCTATTAGTATTGATTACTGGGTGAACTTACATTAGTAGATACTGATGTGAACATTCACATCAGTGTATAATGATCTGAACATTCCTATTAGTATTGATTACTGGGTGAACTTACATTAGTAGATACTGATGTGAACATTCACATCAGTGTATAATGATCTGAACATTCCTATTAGTATTGATTACTGGGTGAACTTACATTAGTAGATACTGATGTGAACATTCACATCAGTGTATAATGATCTGAACATTCCTATTAGTATTGATTACTGGGTGAACTTACATTAGTAGATACTGATGTGAACATTCACATCAGTGTATAATGATCTGAACATTCCTATTAGTATTGATTACTGGGTGAACTTACATTAGTAGATACTGATGTGAACATTCACATCAGTGTATAATGATCTGAACATTCCTATTAGTATTGATTACTGGGTGAACTTACATTAGTAGATACTGATGTGAACATTCACATCAGTGTATAATGATCTGAACATTCCTATTAGTATTGATTACTGGGTGAACTTACATTAGTAGATACTGATGTGAACATTCACATCAGTGTATAATGATCTGAACATTCCTATTAGTATTGATTACTGGGTGAACTTACATTAGTAGATACTGATGTGAACATTCACATCAGTGTATAATGATCTGAACATTCCTATTAGTATTGATTACTGGGTGAACTTACATTAGTAGATACTGATGTGAACATTCACATCAGTGTATAATGATGTAAATGTTCACATTACTGTCACTGTTGATATTGTTGATTGTTGATGTCCACAGAACCTCCAATCTTCACTCAACAATGTGATGGAATATGATGTAAATATTCACATTGTCACATCAATGTCATACTTGTTTGTGTTGTTGGGTGTTGTTTGGTGCTGTTGGTTCCACCCAATGATTTTTAGCAAATGATAACATAATGTAATCACCCATATAAATATTTACATTGCCCTGTAACTGTTGTTGTTTTCGTAATTGATTTTGTAAACATAGATGATGTGAACATTCACATTATTGTTGATTATTGGCTAAACTTACATTACTAGACACTGATGTGAATTGTCACTGTTGATATTGTTGATTGTTGATGTCCACAGAACCTCCAACCTTCACTCAACAATGTGATGGAATATGATGTAAATATTCACATTGTCACATCAATGTCATACTTGTTTGTGTTGTTGGGTGTTGTTTGGTGCTGTTGGTTCCACCCAATGATTTTTAGCAAATGATAACATAATGTGATCACCCATATAAACATTTACATTGCCCTGTAACTGTTGTTGTTTTCGTAATTGATTTTGTAAACACAGATGACGTGAACATTCACATTATTGTTGATTATTGGCTAAACTTACATTACTAGACACTGAGGTGAATTGTCACTGTTGATATTGTTGATTGTTGATGTCCACAGAACCTCCAATCTTCACTCAACAATGTGATGGAATATGATGTAAATATTCACATTGTCACATCAATGTCATACTTCTTATGGAGTTCTAAGTGACATTGATGTGACAATGTCACTTGCCCGATTTCTTATTTATGATTCCCAATTCATGTCCATTACGCTATGTTTGAATCATGGATTTGAAAAGAGATTTGCATAGGGAAAAAAATAGAAGGGAAAAGTGACCCAAAAACAAAAAAATTAAAAATATACAGTATAAGTTATACTTCATTTACTTTTTCCTTCACTTTTCCTTTCCTTTTGCAAATTAACCTAAAGGTTTGACCAAATGTTTTCGGCTAGTTATCTTGTATATGCTTAAAATGAACCTTCTTCACTGGACTTAGAACTCCATAAGAAGTTTATCAATTAGGGAAAAATGGAAAGCAGGGTCAAGACGTAATAACAGCACAATCAAAATAATGCAGCTACTTCCTAACTCATATTAACCAAAGTACTTACCTTTTCTGTCTGGGATATGTGACCAACAGCTGATGACCAAAACAATAGTGCAACCAATAAGATTATAAATCAGCTCCATCTCCAAAAAAACAATAATCTAAACACAATTTTAATTAAAACAGCAATTACAATTATAATCATAACTGTGAAAATTCAAGAACATGAACAAGATAAAACCATGTCGTGCCTGTTATAGATGCAGTTCCTCCAAGTAGCTCATACAAATTTTCCAGAAAATCAGTGTAAAATGAAATTACCCCTGTGATAACCACCACAGTTCTTAGTTCTCACAAAAGGGCTTATATAACTAACACAAAAATAAGGCACAATTCATACAACCTGGATTTCCAGGGATGAACAAGACATGCAATGAAGGATCTTCCGCACGAATTTCTAGCAAATTTGTAGTATAACTGGTCTCAAAGATAAACAATTAAAAGATAAAATCAATGAGAAAAAATCGTCCAAGAGTTCAGTGAGAGAGAAAGAATATACCCGGAGACATTGCACAACCGAAAATTGGCATGCGTTTTTTGGGAAATTAAAGGAAAATTGTCAAGACCCATGACTTTACTTGTACACTTCGATATATACCTTGACCTGGAACAAATTAAAGAAAGAATCAAGAACTCGGTTTTTAGGTAATCAAATGATAAACCATGTTTATTATATTGCTTGAGAGAAATTATTACCTATATAACTTGACCTGGAACAAATTAAAGAAAGAACAAGAACTGGGTTTTAGGTAATCAAATGATAAACCATGTTTATTATATTGCTTGAAAGAAAATATTACCTATATAACTTGACCTGGAACAGATCAAAGAAAGAATCAAGAACTGGGTTTTTAGGTAATCAAATGGTAAACCATGTTTTGCCGAAAACAAATTATTACCAATTAGCAGGGTATATGATCCTCATTGCATACAGAGAGAGAGAGAGAGAGAAGGGGGTTTGTGATACCTGGAAACGGAGGAGAGTGGGAAACAGAGGTATGAGGAGCGAGTGAGAGAAAGACGGTTAATAAGCATAGTGCTCGTCGTCCAGCATTCATATTGGTTGGGCAAATTTGGTCACATTGCCACGATGTGAATGTTCACATTACTGTCGCTGTTGATATTGTTGATTGTTGATGTCCACAGAACCTCCAACCTTCACTCAACAATGTGATGGAATATGATGTAAATATTCACATTGTCACATCAATGTCATATTTGTTTGTGTTGTTGGGTGTTGTTTGTACTATTGGTTCCACCCAATGATTTTTAGCCAATGATAACATAATGTGATCACCCATATAAACATTTACATTGCCCTGTAACTGTTGTTGTTTTCGTAATTGATTTTGTAAACACAGATGACGTGAACATTCACATTATTGTTGATTATTGGCTAAACTTACATTACTAGACACTGATGTGAATTGTCACTGTTGATATTGTTGATTGTTGATGTCCACAGAACCCCCAAACTCCACTCAACAATGTGATGGAATACGATGTAAAAATTCACACCGTGACATCAATGTCAGACTTGTTTGTGTTGTTTGGTGTTGTTTGGTGTTGTTGGTTTCACCCTTTGATTTTCAGCAAATTATAACATAATGTGATCACGCATGTAAACATTTACATTGTCCTGTAACTGTTGTTGTTTTCGGAATTGATTTTGCAAACACAGATGATGTAAACATTCCCATTAGTGTTGATTACTGGGTAAACTTACATTAGTAGACACTGATGTAAACATTCACATCAGTGTATAACGATGTGAATGTTCACATTACTGTCACTGTTGATATTGTTGATTGTTGATGTCTACAGAACCTCCAAACTTCACTCAACAATGTGATGAAATATGATGTAAATATTCACATTGTCACATCAATGTCATACTTGTTTGTGTTGTTGGGTGTTGTTGGGTATTGTTTGGTGCTGTTGGTTCCACCCAATGATTTTTAGCAAATGATAACATAATTTTCCGAGGGTCAAATTTCTGGGTTCCGACAACATTTCTCTATCCCTGACGATGTCCATCTATCTTTAGTAACGGACAATACCATTGATATGGAGAGGGAAGACCAAAATACCATCGTTTTTCCTCTCCTATCCATTACGGAGGGCGGGGTTCGTTTTCCCCTTCACCCATTTCTTAGGGCCATCCTCCGCCATTGGGGTCTGATTCCTTCCCAACCCAATGTGAACTTCTTTCGAGTCATAATGGGAATCGTAGAGTTGAACCGGCGCCTTAGGATTAACCTTGGCATTTCGGCGATTCGGCACTGCTACGCCTTAGCCAAATCCTCCGGTCGGCTCGGGCGCTATTTTCTCAGGGCCAAGGACACCGACCATCACTTCGTTACCATGCTTGCCAGCTCTAGCAAATGAGTTGACGATGTAATGGTCAATGTTCGTGGCAACTGGGAATTCGGCGAGGGCAAAGATCGCCTAGACCCTATTCCCAGAAAGAGGGGCGAACCAGGTTATCGTGTAACCCCTTGTGTCTATTGATCTTTCTTTTATTTGGCTTTTTTTTTCAAGTCTAATTCTTTGTTTTTGCAGGCAGTAAGTTGAAGAGGATTTTGACCTCGGCTGACGACGAGTCCTTGCGAAAATTAGGACTCCACTAAAGTATTTTGGCCGTCCAAACGTACAGAATCAAGGGAGATCTGCCCATATACTCTTGCGGTACGAGCCTACTTATACTACGTTCTCGGTTGCGGACAACATTTCGATCCCGACCGGTGAACATCACCTTATGGCTCTAATCTTCCCCAGCTTCAAGACCCTTAGGCAAATTGGTCTCGAAGCTTCCGATTCGGAGCAAGACGTAGCGCCGGTGGTCGAGGTAGTTGCCGAACCAACAAGAGAGTTTACTGCGGAGGCTGAAGAGGTCGACGAAGCTCTAAACTCAGCATTCGAGGCAGCCGATTTTAACCAGCCTAACTCGCCGTCCACTTCAGGTCGGGCAAAATTTTCTTTCGGAGATATTTTTATATATTTGGAAGATCTACCTGGCTCTTTTTTTGAAGGAATGGCTGGGGAAAATCTTACGCAGATAGCACGAAAGAGAAATGTCGAACGAATGGCCGCATGAAAGAAAACCGAGATCGCTCATTTTGAACCTGCCCCGATCGAGTCTTCGCAAACCGTTATTAGAGGAGAGACGGCTCAAGTTATTGTGGCCGAGACGAAGAAGGAAGTCGAACAACAGTTTACAGAAGAACGGCTGATTCCAGAAGGGCGGGGCGAAAAACGTACCATCGAGGGAGAAATTGGCTCTGAGGATAGCCCTGCTGGCAAACGGCCTCGATTAGAGGAATCGGACGTGGTTCCTTTCGTTGTTCAGCCAAAGATCAAAAACACGCCGATCTCCTCTGACGCATCCGCCATGAAGGATCCAGCCGTAGTGTTGAGCTTGGCCGCCTCAGTTTCGCTATCGGCTGACAAGGCCATCTTTCGAGGAGAGCCGAATTTGGTAGCTGTAGCGTTAGCTGCCCAGTCGGCCCTTCTGGTATGTGACTCTTTTTCTTGTTTGGTTTTGTTTTCGTATGATATTTCTTGGTATGTACTGATTCCAACTCCTTGTTTTGCAGACGGTTGGAAGGATAGCCGAACTAGGCCGCCGGCATCACGATGTCATTGAAAGAATTGGCAGCTTGAAGTCTGAAGCTGAAGGTGAGAGGAGTAGAGCCGAGTTCGAGGCGATGAGGGCCGCAATGGAAAGTGCTCGAGCCGAAGCTGAGAATGAGAGGTCTCGGACTGCTAACCAACTCAGATCCGAAATCGAGGGTAGAGCGAACACGAGCGAGGAATCGCTCAAGTTAGTCAAGGAGGCGCTTGCCAAGGTGGGGGCCGAGTTAGAAGAGTTGAAGAAGGCCAAGGAAAGAGCCGACTCTGAGGCTTCTACAGCGTTCAAGGCTAGAAAGAGCGCCGCCTTTAAAGATTACATAGAAGAAGTCCCCAAATTCGAGAATCGAGGATTCAAACATGGGTGGCTCAAGGCTCTTACTGCCGGTGGAGTTACATTGGCCTTGCCAATTCCATACGAGCAAGTGGACGTTGAGCCACTTGAGTCTGATCCCGAGGATTGTTCTAGGAGACACTCTAGTTTTATTAATTATTTTCAATTTCAATGTATGTTTTTGTTTAGTGGATTTCTGTTAGTATAAGATAATTTTCATGTATAAATTAGTTACTTCTGCGCTCAATTTATTAATAAAAATTTCCTTTCCATTTCACCATTACTTGTACACAGTTTTTGATATTAATAAAGAGCTTTGCTTTTCATTACTGTGTCGCCGAATAGGATTAGTTCATGGGCATTTTATTAGTAAATCGCTTCATGGGGCGGCTGGGGCACTCAAGCCGGATAGATTGATGAATCTGCCCTTGCCCCAGCTGGTTCATGAACATTGAACGCCGAATAACATGAGCTTGTGAATATTGAGTCGCTTCATGAGGCGGCTGGGGCACTCAAGCCGAATAACATGAGCTTATGAATATTGAGTCGCTTCGTGAGGCAGCTGGGACACTCAAGCTGAATAAATTGATGAATCTGCCCTTGCCCCAGCTGGTTCATTAACATTAAACGCTGAATAACACGAGCTTATGAATATTGAGTCGTTTCATGAGGCGGATGGGGCACTCAAGCCGAATAACATGAGCTTATGAATATTGAGTCGCTTCATGAGGCGACTGGGGCACTCAAGCCGAATAGATTGATGAATCTGCCCTTGCCCCAGCTGGTTCATGAAGATTAAACGCCGAATAACACGAGCTTATGAATATTGAGTCGCTTCATGAGGCGGCTGGGGCACTTAAGCCAAATAGATTGATGAATCTGCCCTTGCCCCAGCTGGTTCATAAACATTAAACGCCAAATAACACGAGCTTATGAATATTGAGTCGCTTCATGGTTCGGCTGGGGTACTCAAGCCGAATAGATTAATGAATCTGCCTCCCGTGAGACGAGGAACTTAAAAACCGTTTAAATTTATGGATTTGATCTACTTGAAATGAACTCATGAGGTGCCAAATATTGTACTGATGAATCGATTTGTGGAACGGTTGGGGTACTCAAACTGAATAGATTAATGAATCTGCCCTTGCCCCAGCTGGTTCATGAACATCAAATGCCGAATAACATGAGCTTATGAATATTGAGATGAATCGACCCTTGTGGACGTTAAGACTGCCGAATAGCAATGTTTGATGGGGACACATGACTCGGTCGGCGCGAGGCTGTTGAGGTTTTCAATATTAATGAGATTGCCTCGGAGGTGCTACCCTCGTAGGGAATAAATGAATGGACATCCTACTTATGTGCTCAGTGAACAACTTAGTCCAGCTCTTTAAGGAAGATTAAACAAGTTCGCATGTCGAATAGACTCTTTTTTAACAGCAAAAGGGAAGCGAGGACGCTAGCTGAGCTGGGAGGAGACATGGATCGAAGTGGCGAACCTTCGCACGTAGGAGGTAGGATTTTGAGGGATCGGGAGAGACACCAATCTCCTCATCATCGAAGTAGGTCGCCTAGGAAGGACAAGGAGTCACATGGCAAATCCCCGCAACCCCGTTCTGGAAGAGAGCCAGGCGCGAACCCACGCCCATTGAGTTTTGCAGTCTTCGTGAGGAATAGACCCATGACAGAGGCGGACTCGATCATTCAAGATCCAAATGTGGCAGTTAAGTTTGCTCGACAGATTTTTCCACCCGAGGTCCAGCAGTCGATGGTAGGTCGGCAGGACTTCGAAGTGTTTCGTGAAGGCATTCACGGTGCGGTGAACAGGCTCTACACCGCCTACGAAATCGGCATGCGTCTCCATGCTGCCCGCCGAGAAATAGAGATGAAGGATGAACGCATTCGAAGCTTGGAGGGTCGCACGGAAGCAGCTGAGCGTGAACTAAGGAAGGTCAAGGCCGTTCAAACACAACCCGCCGGACAGGCTAACAAAATCG